AAACTTAACAGGAGTGGAATATTCAAATAAAGGTGAGTGAGGAGATGGTGTGTGATGCTGCAGCTTAAAATTGTCAGCCAGGGGTGTCAGTTTTCTTGGCAGGCTGGCGACCTCAACGCTTTGAGGATTTGGAGCTGCCACCGCTCGCGTGCGTCCCCGGTAGAGATGCACAAACTCTTGTCAGGGCTTTGCAGCTCCTGATGGACCTCAAATCTGGGTCGTTTTTTTAGGATGGGCTGGATATTCAGGCCTTTAAACCTTTAGGCAGAGGAGGTGAATTCCTACCCGCTGAGGAGCCGTTGCAGTGGTTTTTCATCAGGACCACAACGTGCAGCGAAAAAGCGTCCTCGTGTGCTGCACTTTTTAAATCCCTCCAGGTGCTGAATCTTTGGAAGGAATGAAGCCGCATCTTCTGCAGCAGGATGGCTGGGCTGGGGTTTATTGTTCTCGAGGCAGCAGATCATTTCAGAGGGCTTCCCTTGGCAGAAAAAGCCCATGGGGGTTATTTGTTTCGGTGCTCGCACCGTTTTTTGAGCAATTGTTGAACAAATTCTGGTGCCAGGTGAAGCAACAAACCACCTTTTCTCTCTTTCCTTTATAAATAAGAACATAATGGGAATGCCTCTGAATTAATCAAGGGGAAACCCAGCTGCCTGGGTTGTTTCTATGTACAGTTTTTAAGCACAGTCTCCAGGCTGACTCAATGGCTCAAGTGCAGGAATAGGAAAAAAAAAGGGTTATAGACATTTTTATATGACATAAACACATTAAAAAATCTACTCACCCAAAAGAAGCTGCAAAGGTGGGATGAAATGGATGCAAATACTATCATTATGATCATGTGTATCATGTTTTGAGACTGCATCTATCGTGTACTGTACATATTCTAAGTGCCCTGTGTTATATGCTCAGTGAGAAGCATCCCTCTCAGGTCTGCAGTTCAGAGGGTGTAAGAAGGGACAGGAGGTCCTCATCAGGTCCATGTGGGCCTCCCAAAGGGTTTCCTTGATGTTCCCCCCTCCTCCTCCAGCTCCACACACCCTCCCAGTGAGCTGTTTCGTTGGTGTTATTTGCCAAAGGGATAATTGACTCTTAATTTCTTGGCAGAGAAAAGGGAGAGGAGCAGTAAGCAAAGGTAAAGCTGCTGCCAAGGGTACATCAGAGACGTCCTTCCTCATCCTGCTGTATTGATGTAGACACTTGGCTGCTTTTCAGCCCTGCTCTGGCATGGTCAGAGTGCCTTCAACGTAGCATAGGTCATCTTGATTTATCACACATGCTCTTCCCTGGCCTCCTTTCCCCTATGAATTTCCCATCCTCTCATGTATGTGCTGAATTATGGGTGAGGGGAGGCCTCGTATATTGTCATCAGTCCCTCTGCTTCCAGGCAGTTTAGCTCAATAAGTTGATTAATTTTATTACTAGCTCATCCCTTAAAAATATCACCAGTGCTCTCGGATGCTGGAGGAGGGGAGGGGAAGCTGGTCTGCCTGCAGAAGACTTCTTTGAAAGAAGAAGCAAAGCTGCCCAGTGGAAAAGGACCCCAACCCTCCCAGCCTGGCTCCAGAGCAGAGCTGCTCCAGCCCTCCCAGCATCTCCTTGGTCTCCTCTGGCCTCTCTCCAACAGCTCCATGTCTCTCCTGTGCTGAGGGCTTCTGAGCTGGACACAGCTCTCCAGGTGGGGTCTCACAGAGCAGAGCAGAGGGGCAGAATCCCCTCCCTGTCCCTGCTGGCCACACTTCTTTGGATGCAGCCCAGGATGCTTATAATTATGTGAAGAGTGGGTATCAGAAAGATGGGACCAGTCCCTTCTCAGCAGTGCCCAGTGACAGGACAAGGGGCAATGAGCACAAGCTGGAGCACAGGAGGTTCAAGCTGAACATCAGGGAGAACTTCTTCCCTGTGAGGGTGACAGAGCCCTGGGACAGGCTGCCCAGGGAGGCTGTGGAGTCTCCATCCCAGGAGACTCCAAACCTGGCTGGACGTGTTCCTGTGTGATGTGCTGTAGGTGACCCTGCTCTAGCAGGGGGGTTGGACTAGATGATCTCCAGAGGTCCCTTCCAACCCTGACGACTCTATGACATGATAATTAGCAGGCCAAGGCTGTGCCTGTTCCATCTTTGGGTGTGCACCAAAAGTTGCAGGATCTTTTCCTGTTCTCAGGCGCTTTGTCAAAGTCCAAAGCAAACTTTGCATGGAAGGTAGGATGGGATTTGGATTTTCAAAATCTTGCTCAGGCAAGATTTTGAACCACTGAACCATCAAAAACTTGTCAGTTAAATGCAGGAGGTTGCAGATCTCTTTGTATGTGCTGGCTCTGTCTTAGCCACACACTGATACAGATGTGACAAGTATTGGCTGAGCAGCTGGATGGGAATCAAAGGTGTGCAGATGCTGTTTGAATGCAGGTATTCAAGAGAACAGAGTTAAGGTTGGATATGCAAGCAGGCAGCCAGGACAGTGGTGAAAATTTCCTCCAGGGAGACCTTTGCCAGCAGCAGGTTTCAATTAAAATCCCAGGAATCCACCAGAAGCATCCCAGGTTACCTTCTCAAAGGGAGTTACCTTGCTGAAGGTTGTCTCTGTTACAGCCTTTGTGCAAGGGAGTGAACTGGGGATTTCTGCAGTAAAGGACACATATTAAAGAAGGCAATTAAATATAAAGAAGGCAATGAAATATATTTGCTGCCCTTTTGATAGAAACTTCTGTTGTTGTTTCACAACGAGGGGCAGGATCACATTGATCCCCACAACATTTGAGAGTCTCACTTCCCACAGACAACCTGGTTTGTGTTCTTCCCAGGAGCAGAAGTAGGAAATAGACCATCCTTTGCATTATATTGGTTTTTTCCCAGCACTGGATTATTCATGCACAGGCTACCCAGCCCAAGCAGTGCCAAACCCCTTTCTGTTTCTGTGTGGGAAGGCAGAAGAGTTGTCCCTGTGATAAAACTGAATTGGTAATTGGGGTTGTGGGCAGCACTGTGGTGGTGACTCCTCCTTGAACAGCTCTCAGGTGGCAGTTCCTCAAAATAAAGTGCTTTTTCTATGGTATTTTATATTGGAAAGCCATGGTAACAAAGGGAGGAATTTACCAAATGTTTCACTTCTCATTTATCTGTAGCTTGTCTACCCAGCTCATGGACTTCCAGTGGAGTTCCCAATGGGCTGCCCAGGTAAATGGTGGAAGCACCATCCCTAGAGGTGTTCAAGGACAGGCTGGATGTGGCATTTAGTGCCCTGGTCTGGCTGATGTGGTGGTGTCAGGTCATGGGTTGGACTTGATGATCTGAAAGGTCTTTTCCAGCCTTGGTGATTCTGGGATTCAACTTTGTATTCACCTTTTTCCCACTTGCACTTTGCACGAGTTGCTCACTTGGCCTCACTCCCCAAAGCTTTGTAGCATCTTAGAACTAAGAAATGCCCAGTCAGGGAGGCTTGTTAAGAGCTTTCCTGAAGTTCAGGAAGGGTTTAATCTGTTTCCAATAGTCAGAGCAGATCAAAATGAACCCCATCCTACAGAGAGGAAGAGCAGCTGAATCACCACTGCTGGAGCTGGAGATGTTCCTCTGGCTCAGCCCTCAGACACAGCCAACAGACAAGGATTCCTCCCAAACCACAGGATGCAGGATACAGCCTCAGGCAGCTCATTTGATTGTCGAGCAGAAGAAAATCCTCAAAGATACTTTTTAATGAAGGCTATTTTTATTTTTTGCTCCTAACGAACCCAGTCGAGCAATTTAAAACCATTTCAGGATTGTTGTGGGTTTTTTTTCTTCCTCAAGTGACAGTGAAGTCCCACAAATCTAGGGAGATGCTGGCAATAAAGCTGCTTAGATAGTATATAAAATGCCACTGATGGGATTATTTTGCTGCAGCTCTTTGCAGCTATTATGCTCAGCAGCATGATTCCTCATTGTAAGTTCATAAAAGAGCTAATGACAGGAAGGGGAGATTTGCAAAGTTGAATGAAAGTGGAATGCAAATTTGTGACAAAAAGAGCAACTCATGATGGGAAGAGGGTACTGAGGGCTGTGGTAAATGTGCTGTCACTTAAAGTCTTTCAGTGAAGTGCACTTGGTTGCAGCCAGAAACTCTTGGAATTAGGTGTAGGAACAATGTCTTGATTTATCCCTCTTAATGAGACACAAAAAGTCGTGGTGGAGAAAAGCTCCTTCACCTCCAAAAAGAGGAGGATTTGCCACACCAGTAGTTCTGGGACATAACCAAACAAGCTCTTCATGGAGACAAGGATTGGAAAGGTAAACCTGAAGGCAGAAGATGGAGTGGGACAGTGGAGTGAGCAGTTACACACCTGGAAAGAGCCATTTCAGCATTTGGGGGCTAAACGTGTTTGTCCTGGTCATTGTTTTTCACCAGGTGCTCTCTCTGTGCCAAGTAAATAATGCATGGGTTGGTATTTCAAGCCATGTGTTTGTCACTTTGTCATGGGGGGTTGGATGAACTGATTTGCAAGGAAGGGTTGAATGTGCAGCATTATTGTATGTGCATCATTGATACGTATCCCTGGGAGACACCTCCAGGTGTCAGTGCTGGGTGGGGGACTTGAGCAGGCTGAAGTTTGTAACTATGAGAAATCAGGTGAAATTCAGAGATTTTATATCACTGAATCATGGAATGGTTTGGGTTGGAAGGGACCTCAAAGATCATCTAGTTCCAACCAGCCCAGGCTGCTCCAAGCCCCATCCAACCTGCCCTTCAACACTGCCAGGGATGGGGCAGCCACAGTTTCCCTGGGCAACCTGTTCAATAGTCTCACCAGCCTCACTCTAAATGCAGGGAGAAGAAGAGAAAAAGCATCAAGGTGTCATGAACTGCAGGATATTCACTCTAACAGGACTTCAAAACCTCCACTAGGCAACGTTCTGGAGACCCCACGCTGGGACAGCTCTACGTTGCCTGGTTTGACCATCCAGCTGGTGTCTCCCCTTTGCTGTCCTGGGCTGTGTTTCTGACAGTGGCTTCGTTTTGCATTGCAGGGCTGCTTTTGGCAAAGAGTCAGAAGTTCTCATTGGCAACCTGGGAGATAAACTGATCCCTCAGCAGGAGATCCTGCGGGACGTCAGCGACCTGAAGGCCTTGGCCAACATGCACGAGAGCCTGGAGTGGTTAGCAGGTCGTACCAAGGCAGCCTTGTCCAACCTCTCAGCCACCCAGAGTAAGTAGCTCCCGTGGGAGAACGTTTTGTCTTAGAAACCAGCCTAAATAAGCAGTTCCAGCAGGAGAGGACATCTTCTGTGCTTCAGCTCGACGCCGGTTTATGGGACCTCTCAGAGGGAAGTCAAAAGCAAAGCAGCCCCGTGTCCCTCTTCCTAGGGAATGCTCTGGTGTGACACCTGCTCAGGCTGTGGTGGGCACCAGGGTCATCACTGGGATCAGGAGCTCTGAAGGACTGGTTGAGCTCTCCAGCAGTCCCTGCTGTGGTGCAGGAGCAGGTACCAGCACCCAGGCAGGTTCTGTTTTCTTCAGAGCATCACTAAGACATCTGAATATGCAAAAATAAGTGTGTGTCACAAATTGAGTAGAGAAACTGAACAGGAGTGTGTGTCCCTGGGGCACTGATCCTCAGCCTCAGAGGTGGAAGCCAACCCTTGAGGAACTGAGGAGCTCGTGGCTCTCATGGGTTGTCCTCACTACCTTTGTCAGAGGGTCTCACTTTGTCAGAGCTTCAGCTTTCACTCCTTCCCCCAGGGAACACTGATTATTTCTTATGTCTGCCTGCAAAGTGCTAGAGATGGGATTGGTGTGGCTTTTTGTCACTGTCATTGGCCACATTCAGAGGTGGGTTGTGCCCCAGAAGAGAGCTTGGCATGAACAGACCACAGCTCTGCTGCTTCCCACTGACATCTTTCCACTGTTACTGGGATGGGTTGGACTAGGTGACCTTTAAAGGTCCCTTCCAACCCAAACCATTCTGTGATTAACTGGTGAGGAGTCACCTCCAGTTCAGCTGACATGGGGCTGAACTTGTCCTGGATCAGAGGTTTGGGTCTGACCTGCCTACTGAGACATTTCTAACAGCTGTTCTGGGTCACAGGACACTTGTCAGGGCACTTCCCATGGCTCTAGATCCTTGTAACAAAACCCTGTGTGTTTTGCTGAGGTTGAACATCCCTTGTTGTCCAGGGTTTATATTCAATGCAGCTGCAGGTGTAGAAGGAGGCACCTAGACTGTGTTGTAGATGAGGAGCAGAAGAGAAGGGAAGCATTGCAGGAGAAATCCACAAAGCTTGGTGGGATCCCAGGCCACTTGGGGACATAGTGAGGACGTGGGGCATCTCTGCAGTTTGTCACACAAATGTGGAGCAGAGTTCTGGGCTTAGGAACCCACAGAAGAGCAGGGCCTTGGGCAGCCAGGTCTTCTGAGCTCTGGTGGGAATGTGGCATTGAAAGTCACCTCAGCGGGGAAGTGGCAGGGGAAGTTTGCTGGTGCTGAATAAAGTCATGGTGGTGTATCTCCATTAACATATCTGCCCCTCAACAGCAGAGCATCTCTGGTGGCTGACAATCATGGATTCACAGAGTGGTTTGGGTTGGGAAAGACCTTGAAGGTCATCCAGTCCAACCATGAACCCAGCCCTGCCAAGGCCACCCCTGCCCCATCTCCCTCAGCACCATCTCCAGGGCTTTGAAATCCCTCCAGGGATGGGGACTGACCTCCCTCTGGCTTACAACTGCTCTAGAGAAGGACTTTGAACTCTTTTCTCAGCTCTCCCTGATCAGTTTGTTCAGATCCAGAAAGATAATTTAAGATGATACAATTGGCTAAAAATTAAAGCCCCAAAATAATATGGAATATGTATCAATATATAGTATGTGTTTCTTTTTCTGTATGGATTTATAGTGTATTCCCATAACACCTGCTTTGAGTTCTCCATACCTGAGTGACAAGGAGAACTGTGCTGCTCTCACACGATGGCATTGGAAAGATTAACCAAAGAAAAAAAATTAAAACTATAAATAAACTGGAAAATGCTGCCAAAGTTCAACAGCCAAATAGTTCTTCTTGGACCTTCAGTTCCTGGGAGAGTTCTTGGGGCTGAAGGGCTGAGCTCTGACAGTCCCCACTGTTAAAAATAAACCCACCATTTATCATTTCAGGCTGAAACTCCAATTTTTTAATCAATCGATATTTTGCAAACATAACAGGGCACGAGTGTGACATTCAGGCTTCTGAGGGGACATTACAGGTAGCAGTGAATAAGCATGAGAGTCCTAAGTGTGCCATTGCTCTTGGCAGCCTCCTCCTGACAGTACAAATTCATCCTCCTTGGTAAGAACTTCCCACCAACGCGCTGAAATGTCCGTACAAAAGTGCCCAGAGTACCTGAAACAAGGGGAACAATGAGCAGGGTTGGGCAGTAAGAGAGGCTGGTTGGCCTCATGGTTATACATGAAACCTGGTGGAGTGTGTCTCAGACATGGAACCTCAGTAGAGCTGCCTGGCATCTGTGGGGGAGAAGTGGTGCCCTGGGGCAGAGGTGGGGGTAGAAGTCAGATGGATTTACAGATCCAGCAAGGTGAGACACAGGGGAGACAATTCTTCTGGAGGACAGGAAGAGATGGTTTGGGTTGGAAGGGACGTTAGAGATTCAACCATTAGAGTTCCAACCCCCTGCATGGGCAGGGACACCTCCCACCATTCCAGGCTGCTCCAAACCCCATCCAACCTGCCCTTCAACACTGCCAGGGATGGGGCAGCCACAGCTTCTCTGGCCAACCTGGGCCAGGCTCTCCCCACCCTCACAGCCCAGAATTTCTCCCTCCCATCTCAGCTCCAGCTCCCTCTGCCAGCTGGAAACCCTTCCCCCTGCTCCCATCCCTCCCTGCCCTTGTCCCAAGTCCCTCCCCAGCTTTCCTGGAGCCCCTTCAGGCACTGGAAGCTGCTCTCAGGTCTCCCTGGAGCCTTCTCTTCTCCAGGCTCAACACCCCAACTCTCCCAGCCTGGCTCCAGAGCAGAGCTGCTCCAGCCCTCCCAGCATCTCTGTGGCCTCCTCTGGATGTTCTCCAAGAGCTCCAAGAATAAATACCAGAGGAAAAATGAGATTATGTCTCTTCCCATCCCACCTGGTGGGGGTGAGAAGAGCAAAGCTAATGTGCTTAGACCCTGCTGGGAGGAGGAAAAATTAACACTACCTCTTGTTTCAGAGATTAATACAATGTTAATGCCAGAATGCTCTGCTGCCAGAGGAGCTGTTCTGTTCTGTTCTGTTCTGTTCTGTCATGGATTCATCATTTGAATTTCTGAGTATGTCTTTGCTGGAAGCCACAACGTGTTAAAGAGCATCAGGAGGGAGGAAGGGAAAGTAAAGGTAAATAAAGGGGATTTCTGCCACACTCTGAAGATCACCCATCTCAGGTTCAGATCACCAGAAGTGCAGTGGCTTTCTCATTTCAACATTGTTAACTTTGACTCTAAGACCCATCTGTGTGGAACCCAAACATTCCAGTGCACACTGGGGTGTGTGGCTCCTTGTACGCGAGGCAAGGGCTGTTAGTGACCCAGGTGTCTGTCTGGGTAGCTGACCTGGGGCAGATGGCAGCTCTTCTGGTCCTGGGAGCAACTCTGTCTTCTGCCTTTTTTTGGTTTTTTTCACCTTGTACTAGACCATAGAATCAAAATCATAGAAGTGTTTTGGTTGGAGAAGATCTTTGGGATCATCAGTTGCAACCATCAACGCAGCTCTGCCCAGTCCCCACTGCCCCGTGTCCCTCAGCACCATCTCCGGGGCTTGGAAACCCCTCCAGGGATGGGGACTCCCCCCCTGCCCTGGGCAGCCTGGGCCAGGCCCTGACAGCCCTTGCCAGGCAGGAATTGTTCCCCAGATCCAACCTCAACCTCCCCTGGCACAACTTGAGGCCGTTCCCTCTTGTCCTGTCCCTTGTTCCTGGGGAGCAGAGCCCGACCCCCCTGGCTCCAACCTCCTCTCAGGCAGCTGCAGAGCCAGAAGGTCTCCCCTCAGCCTCCTTTGCTCCAGGCTCAACACCCCCAGCTCCCTCAGCTGCTCCTCACAAGTTCTCCAGCCCCTTCTCCTTCTGCTCCAGCCCCTTCCCCAGCCCCGGGGCCCTTCCCTGGACACGCTCCAGCCCCTCCAGGTCCTTCTTGTCCTGAGGGGCCCAGCCCTGACCCCAGGATTCCAGGTGTCCCCTCCCCAGTGCCCAGCACAGTCTGGAGTGTCTGTGAACAAGAACAGTCATCTCATTAACTGGTAGCAGTGGTGGGGCTTGATCTTCTGTGCTCACCAGGTGTTGGGCCCTGGGTTCCTTCCCTGTGGAAATTCAGCAGCTCTTCCAGCAAAGCTCCCTTGGCAGCAAATGGGAATTTTTTTAGGCTTAACTCTCAGTGTTCAGAAACCAGAAGGTAGAGCTGGGCAGGTGTGGACTTTTTTTTGGGGGGAAATCCTAAAAAGAAACGGGGGAGGGGCTGCCTCTTGGTGGCTTTCTGGTTAGGCTGTCAAAACCCCCTCCCTAGAGATAACAATTCCATACCCACGTGCTGTGGATGTGCCACAGTGATCACTCATTTCAAAGCAGCCTTGCTCATGGGGTGTTTTATCATCCTGCTGTGCATTCCCTGCATTCTTCATCACTGGGTGTTTGCTGAGCTGGTGGCTCTTCCAGAGCTCTCCCCTTCTCTCCTCTCCCTCAGAATTGGATTTTTGTGTTTTTCCAACCCAGTCAGAGGTGACAAAGTCATTTCCTTCTCCCCTTGTCTTTTGAGGGAATGCAAACTGCTTTTTAACAATAACCATGGCAGGATTAAAGTTGCTGCAAGAGGCTGAATTCACCAAGGAAGTCAAGTCAATTGGAAATAGGTCATACATGAAAATAAAAGTGGGATTTCCCCTCCCTTTCCTCTCCTGCTTCTCTGTCATGTGAGGTCACAACGTAGACTTCTCCTTCCCCCTCACTGGAGCTTCAGCCTTCTGAAGCCCTCTGAGTATTTTACAAAGAAGGAATTTTTCTGCAGGATGAAGGAGCTGGGACAATCTTGACTTTTTCTTTTATTTTTGTAAGGTGGCTGCCTGCTGGGTGCAGGTAGGAAGATGAAAGATCAGCCATTAGCTGAGCGACCTGCAGCTCCCCTTTGAAATCCAGCTGGCTGGTGGCATCTGGTGACTTCAGATCCTTGCAGACAGCAGTTAATGACTGATGGGC